AAATCAGAGATTATCCCATCACCCATGTGTAGATGGAGAGATTTGAAAGCAATATGGATTATATTTCCACATGACTGATGAACAAAGGAATAAGGTATGTCCACAAAGAGCTCCTATTTTCAAAACCATTTTTGTATTAGACAAATGCCCATTCCTTTCTCAGAAGTCCATGGCAAACTTCTTTTATGGCTTTGTTCTGCATGCTGGAAAATACTGGCATTAGTTCCCCTCGCTTTCCAAAGTTATCTGAACAATCAAATCTTGGCTCATTCCCTGGGTGTTTTCTGATGTTTGAAAATTTCAAAAGGATAGTAAAAGAGTTTAGAGAAAAAAATGTAATGCCAAAATATTAACAGCCTTGGAAAAGATAGGGCTTGCGGCAGCCCATGAATCTACTCTTGCTTTTCGCTGGAGACACTGAGAAAAAGAAAGAAACGGGACCAGGACACCTCCCCTGTGTCAGCTCTTGGCGAACACTGTAATGCTATTTCCTAATGGGAGAGTCCATATCTATGATTCACTTGGAGCAGAAGGTAACTGGCATGGCTAGGTTTCTTTATGCATTTAGGGACATGGCTCCCCCTGGAATATTACATAAGCTATCTAACTATCTGAGTGCAAAGGAGAAATTTCAGGAGAGAAGTTGACTCCCTTCTTTATAGAGAATGTTCCCACAAGCATTGCTTAGAGATTCCAAGAGTTGAATGAAGGCCACAGAGTGTCGCAGTGAAACAAAAAAGAATTTGAATGGTGCTAATGATCCCAGAATTTGCTCTTCCTGTATTATTAGTAAAGTTTGATACTGGGTGAGATTTTGGGACCTCATCTGATAATCCAATGTGACTTATCTCTATGCTGATTTTATATTAGTAGACATTCTTCACCTTTGTCTTTAAACATAAATATATCACATTTTAATGTTTTATGCATACTGTTCACTTAGCTCTGTCATATTTGTAAAGAAGAAAGGCTCAAAATTAATGCACAAAGCATCCAATTTTAGAAACAGAAGAATACAGATATATCATTTTTAAGGATAATTTTACCTGTCCTCTGAGTTACTTATTTATCTTCTTGTTAGATTTGGTCTATACATCATGTTAAAATATAACCACTTGATCATTCCAGACTGTGCAATCCATTTTGAGAGTGACACACTAAAATGTCTGCCTATAACTTTTTTTTTTCTTTCGGTGGACTTCACACCAGAGTAACTCAGTAGGGACCATGATCTTCCACAGGAGGACCTCCACTCAAAGAGCATTGAAGTTCCTTTCCCGTGGGTCGGTCAGTTTCTTGAGAAAGGAACACTGGCTATCACCACTTGGTGGGCAAGTGAGGGAAGGATTGAATAATGTGTAATTTTGGATGAAGAATTTAGCCTCATTCACAGTTTTCAAGATCAAGGCACTCCACCATGAAATAAAAACAATCAATAATCATCTTCATGTAGAACTTTGCAATGCCTTGAAAAATCCATGGGGACATTATTCCCCACATAGAATCCCATATCAGACAGAATTATCAATCGTGTGTGAATGTAAAATACAAATATTTGCATATTTTCAAGTCTCAATAATTTACCTTTTCTAAAGAAAGTACTAAAGTGTGTGCTTTACCAACAGAGAAAATATTGAGGGTAAAGACATAGGAGTACCAGTATAATAGAGAAATCAAAGAAATTTGAAGAGGATGGGGAAGAGAAATCCAAGTATGGAAGCTACATGGCATGTTGGGAGACAACTAGTGCAAAATGACACAGATTTGTTTGTGTAATACATCTAGATGTATGCTTCTGGGAGAAAGGTTGGTGATAACTCAATAACAGATAAATAAAAATAAGTCAAGCAAATAAAAGGCAATTACTAACTCCAGGGAAAACCAAAGAGTTATACAAAAGTTAACCATATCATTGTACATTATATGGTTTGGTTCGGAATAACGGGTATACAGCCTTAATAGTATAAATGAAGACTATTGATTCAGCCAAAACTTGTGATTGTTATATGGGGTGTAGGAGAAGTGTTGGAGGGGAAATGGTAGGAGACACAAATCAATAAGTAATAGGTGGATAATCTCTAAAACTAAAAAACTCAAAAATTGCACATCCTTGCTTTTTTATTTTTTGCTTTGTTTTAATGTTTATTTATTTTTGAGAAAGAGAGAGCAAGTGGGGGAGGTCAGACAGAGGGGGACAAAGGATCCAAGGAGGCTCCACACTAACAACAGAGAGCCCAATGTGGGGCTCAAAGTCACGAACTGTGAGATCATTACCTAAGATGAAGTTGGACACTTAATTGACTGAGCCAACCAGACATCCCCATCTTTGCTTTTTTTTTTTAATAGGAATACCTGAAGAAACAGCAAAAATAGTGAAAAATGCATACCTCCTGAGCTCTAGAGTTGGGGAAGAGTGATATAAAGGACTACTGGTTTTTAGTACAGTACAGCAAGATAATTTTGTTTTATATATGTACCCACACATACCTTTAATACATTTTTAAATTAAACACTTTTATGAAATAAAAAGGTTGCTTTCCAGAAACACCCTCAATTTCCAATTCTTGGCTCCTCTGCCCCAAGCACCCAAACTGCGCCCACTTTATGAACTGGCCCTCTGTTGGGGCGCCTGGGTGGCGCAGTCGGTTAAGCGTCCGACTTCAGCCAGGTCACGATCTCGCGGTCCGTGAGTTCGAGCCCCGCGTCAGGCTCTGGGCTGATGGCTCAGAGCCTGGAGCCTGTTTCCGATTCTGTGTCTCCCTCTCTCTCTGCCCCTCCCCCGTTCATGCTCTGTCTCTCTCTGTCCCAAAATAAATAAACGTTGAAAAAAAAAAAAATTGAACTGGCCCTCTGCTGGGTGTAGTCACTTTGGGGACCATCGGATGGTGTTTTTCTCTGACTGTCTGTGAAATAAACACCAAATTCAGAATTTTGTTTTTCTGTACTGCCAAAGAAATGCATATATTGTCCTATGGAAATGTAATAGTTTTATTTGCATACTCTTTAAATATTTTGTACCCTCTAAGTTTTGGTACCATTGGGCAAAGCTGTGTCCCCTCATTCTAAAGTCCTCCTTTGAGGAACAAAGTCTTTCCAAATCTGACCTTAACTCTTTCTAACCTTTCATCTGTTCCATCCCATCCCGCTGTCTTCACCTTGGCTATGTTGAAACTATGCCCAAGCTTTTTCATATTCTGCACCATCTAATACTAAATTCCTTTATTCGTCCCAAAAGAATGAAAAACTTAGAATACTTTTTTTTTAAGTTTTTAATTCTTTCAAGCCTTACTGAAACCAGGACTCCATTCACATGAGTCTGGTCAATCCATTCTCTCTCCTCTGCCCACAAGACTGTTTCTCTTCTTTCTTCTTTACCCTCAGGAATAAGTACTTATCTATATACACGTTTCCCTTTTTGAAATGAGATCCTCAGACATAGAGAATGTATCTTAATCATCATTATATGATGATTCTGTCCACAGTCAGCCCAGGACAGTAGCAGACACTCAGTAGAAGTGCAGTCAATGAATATATAGAGAATGACTAAATAGTGACTAAGTTAATGGACAAAATACCAGCCTACTTGCAGTGTAAGGAGAGATGGATTCTCTTCTTCTATTATATGCAAGATCTGCATGGGCACAAAATTAAAAAAAAAAAACCTACAGTGACACAAAACATTGTTCACAGACTGTTTTTTATGAACACAGAAATGAATTTTTTCCTTTATCAATTCTCAAAACATCCAATTTTATACTGAAATATAATGCCACTTTCATAAGATGGTTGTCGTAGTCGAAGTACTTGTATCCATCAGCAGAATAAAATTGTTTCCATAATGGAAATCAAACAACATACCATGAGATGCACATGTGTTCACTGAGACTGAACTTCCAGAAGTACTTTTCTTGAGATATCATTGATGTTTTACTATTTATCTGTCTTCGCCATATAATTACACATTATGTAGATTAAATCGCCATGATCAAAATCGTTTCTGAATGTTACAGAGATGTTATGTACAAGTTCTTTGATTGATCATGAGCTATTGTTAAGCTCCTAGTTTTTAACGTGCAGAAGGAATGGTGAGTCTTTAGTATTTGCTAAACAAAGCCTACACGTCTATGTCAAATTTTGTGTGCGTCCCCATCTTAGCAATTGACAATGAGTTCTTACCTTCTGTCTGTCCTTTGTTCTTTCACATTCATGTGAATGGATGCCTCACTGTCCAGAGATGCTCTGTGTGTACTTATTTTTATATACCCAGCATCTGGTACACTGCCTGTACATGCATAATCATTTTTTAAAAGTCAGTGTAGGGAGGAAAAATGTAGTCTCTACAGATGAACACAAACGTAACAACATGTTACTGGTGGTAAATCAGGAGTAGGAAGAACACAAGACGATATCTTTTTCTTGTTTCTTCATTTCTGTACTTTTCAATTTACAAAGCCCAAAAAATCATTCCTAAGGACTAGATATTCACATTGTGGCCCACAGAACTGCTGCACTGTGGACATTGCTTAGGAGCCTCTTAGAAATGCAAATCCTTGGTCAGGTCTCTAGAGGTACTGAATCTGAATTAGAATTTTTTTTTTACGGGATCCCCAGGTGTTTCATATGCATATTTAAGTTTGGGAGGCATTTTTCTAAAAGAGTTTGTCTCAATATCCAGCAAAGTGTTTATCTCCCCATTTTGAAAATGTACTTCATATTGCCAATAATGGTTTTGGTTTTCTTAATATGAAAAGCTTGATGAAAAATATTACTGCCTCCTATAGTAGGCACTGGAGAACCAGAGAGGTCAGGAAGAAGAAAGCCATGTGCCTATCTGAGGAAGAGCCTTGTGAGGAGAAGTCCATGCCTTCAAGGGGATTTAAATGTTCACGGATCAGAAAAGGGCTTTATGTGGCCCCTGGGAAAGAGTGGAATGAGCAAGACGGGAAGAGTAATAAGAAGTCAGGGAAGGGGGTCATGAAGGAAGAAGTCGTCAGATTCTGATTGTACTTGGAAGATGAATGCTATAGGACCTCATGAAACAGGAGGCTCTGAAGGATGAACAGAGCTCCAAGATAACACCTTATGCTTTGTCTGAAGAGTTGACATTACGTTGTGTGGGGAATAAGTTTAGGAATTCCCCGGGCTTGTACCAATGGGTTAACAAGGCATAAAGAATTACAAAGCCATAGGGTGCTCTCACCCAAGCCTGGGTAAACAAGATAAGACCCCCAGAATACAGTAGGGAGGGGCCTAGGCCCCCAGGATAGAGAGGGAGGGGCAAAGTTCCCAGAATAGAGAGGGGGACAAAGGTCCCCAATATAAAGGTATATTAGGTAAGCAAGATTAGGCGTTCAGGGTGAACACACCCCCCAATTTAGTATGATAGCAGAAAGCTGCTTTCACAGGACGGAAGGACCAAATTAGGTAAACAGGTATATAGGGCTATAGACAGCTGCACTGTGGTTGAAGCTGTCCAGAGCAGAGCTGATTGGCAAAAGGAAAGATGCCTTGTTAACCCATTGGTACAAGCCCAGGGAATTCCTAACCTTATTCCCCACAAAGTTGGAGAAGACACCAAGGGAAATAGGGATCTTTGCTTTTTTTTTTTTTTTTTTTTTTTTGGTTATGGCATTGGAGAAGATGTGCTGAGATCTTCAGATTTTGACTCATTAAGATGAGTATTCCCTTCTTTCTCCTGGATAAGCCACTTAGGACAACATGGATGGAACGTGAGGGCATTATGCTGGGTGAAGTAGGTCAGACGCAGAAAGACCAATACTGTATGACTTCCCTTATCTGTGGAAGCCAAACTCATAGAAACAGAAAATAAAGGGTGGTTTCTGGATGATGGGGTATGGGGAAATGGGGAGATGTTGGTCATAGGGTACAAACTTCCAGTAATAAGATAAATACGTTCTTGGGATCTGATGTACTCCGTGGTGATTTTAGTTAACAAGTTAGCAACACTGCATTGTATATTTGAAAGTTGCTGAGAGTAGATCTTAAGTGTAATGACCACTAAAAAGAAATGGCAATTCTGTGAAGCAATGGAGATGTTAGCTAACTCTACTGTGGTAATCATTTCACATTTTATAAGTAGGGCACAGCATCACATTGTACTCCTTAAATTTATACAAAGTTATAGGTCAATCATATCTTTAAAAAGCTGGGGGGAAAGACTGGGATGGATTTTAGGCACCTGTGTAGAGCTGTTCAGGGAGAGCTGAATGTGTCGATCTGGCGTTCAGGGGAGACCTACAAACTTGAGATAGAAATTTTATCAGCAGAGGTGAAGTGTGAAGCCATTCTGCTAGATGAGATCTTGATGGGAGCACGTGTAGACAAGCAAACAGAAACATCTGAAGACCAAGCCTGGGCCACTGCAGAGCTGAAACGTTGTGTACACAAGGGAAACAGACAAAGGAGCTTGGGAAGAAACAGCAAGGGACCTAGGGAGGGACAGAATGGGAGAGCGAGGTGTTCATATGATGAAAGGTTTCCAAGGTGGAGACAGTGAGGATTGTGTCAAAAGACATAGGAAGTCCAGACTGAGGGGACAGGTGATGTAGGTGATGGGAATTAAGGAATGCACTTGTGATGAGCACCAGGTGATGTGCTGAATCAGTGTATCAGACACTTGAAACTAATATAACACTGTACGGTAACTAACTGGAATTAGAAATGTGTTTAAATGACATAGTAAGTCCAAGTGGCTGAGGACTGGGGTTAGCATTGTATGCAGCAGTGTGAAGGTTACTGGTGACCTCAAAAAAATCCCATTGTCATTGCAGAGGTGTGCAGACACCTTCCTTGTGTTAAAGAAGAAAGTAAGGTAGAGATCGGAAGATGTCAAAGTCAAACAATTTTTTTCCAACATGTTCTCTCATCAGGAGAGAACAATGGGACAGTTCCTGAAAAAGGAAATGGGGATAAGAAGAAAATTATTTTTACTGTTCCTTTGCATGGGGGCGAGGCTTGACAGCTGAGTAATCACTCACTGCTGATTTGATTAATCTAGTTCAGTGTGACCGACTAACGATCACAGAGAAGAGAGGGAGAACCATGGAGGTCCCTGAGAAATCCAAGTGGGGCCTCTTTCACTGGATGGGTGCCGGGGGTGGACTGAGGTCCCAGAGGGGAGGGTGAAACGTGTGGGCTTTACGAGGGGTAGGTGGGTAGACTGGAACGTATTGATGGCTTGTGCTTTCCCAGTGAAACATGAAGGTCATGACCTGCAGGCAAGGATGGGGAGAATGTATGGGGCATTGGACAAACGGTCTTTTGAGGAGAGAGGAGAAGGAAGGTTCTAGATCCCTGCCATTCAGAGCGTGTTCTGCAGACCAGCAGCGTCGTGACAACCTGGGAGTTAATTTAGTTATCGCCAACTTGTCCTTCACTGAAGGAACCAGCATCCGCACAATCTCTCAGTGATTTCTAACCCAGTTGTTTTCAAATTTGTACACTGGATCCAACCAGGAAGATTTAAAATATCTGGATGCCCGGGACCGTGCTCAAGACCTATTCCATCAGAATACTTTGGGGTGTGACCCAAACATCATCATTCTTTAAAACTGCTCAGATGGTTCTAGTAGAAAACCAATTTCTATCAGTGGAGGTAAGTCGATGCCCTTGGGAAAGCCCACCGGAGGTTAACGATCCTGTGTTTGAAGACACCATTCTGCTAGGTTCCAAGTTTTTCTCCAGCTCTATTCTGCACGAGGGCAGGTGCAGAATACAAGATGAGGTGCTTTTAATGAGTACTGGAGTTTTGCCAAGCAGTGAGAATAGGAGCAGAGTTCTGCTTACTACTCTGCCTTCTTTCTCCTGCTCTGTTCTCACTCTTGCCAACCAGTGGGGCTCCATTTGTAATTCTTCCACATTTTAGCTTTCTGAAGGGATTTAAAAGGAAGTTTTTGAGAGTTAGATGTCCCGATGTGTGCCATGCTTTCCCTTCCCTGTATTCATCACATATTCCCATCCGAATCATGCAAGCCTCTGATAATTCAACAGATACCCATTGTGTAGTGTGTGAATAATTTTATTTTGTTGTTTGAGCCTGTAGAAACTCATAAGTAAATCTTTGTGATCCCAGAATCTTGATTATTATTTACTGTTTTTTTTCCCCTTTTCTTTCCCTCTTTTTCTTTTATGGATTTACACAGATTTCCAACTTCCCCTTAGACTCCCTGATTTAATTTTGGTAATTTATATTTTCCATGGATATTCTACATTTCTCTAAAATTTTCCAATTTGTCTGCACATATTGGCACATCGTGTTGCCTTATAAATCCTTAATTTCTTTTCTGTGTGTCTGCCATATTCAGTTTCTCGCGTCCAACTTTGTGCCTTTTTTGTCCTGCTTTTTCATTATCTTTTACAGAGTTTTGTTTCTTTTAGTAATTAAATCAAAGACTAATACTCTGGGGCTTATTGATAATCATTGTTTTCTTTCCTTTTTGTGAAGTTTTATATATATATATATATATATATATATATATATATATAAATGATTGATATTTTATTTATATGTGATGAACATATTTATAGTAGGAAAATTAGGCTGCACATATAGGAAAGGGAGGGAGAAACAGTCATGACACAAAGCCCACGTGACATTTGATAGTTCTCTGCAAAAATGTTTCTTGTGCTTTTCTGTACAGATGCTGTCTGCCTACGTAGATTTCAGGTGGCCTCATAGTATAGTCTTCATTGTCTGCTGTGTTTTCTTATTCTCACTTTGATGGTAGAGAAAGTGATGAAGTTAGAGATGAAGTTATGGAGCCTGGAATTCAGAGTCTCAGCTTCTTACTTTGCTTTGTATCAAGATGCACATTTCTTTTTTCTTTATTTTTTTTCAACGTTTATTTATTTTTGGGACAGAGAGAGACAGAGCATGAACGGGGGAGGGGCAGAGAGAGAGGGAGACACAGAATCGGAAACAGGCTCCAGGCTCTGAGCCATCAGCCCAGAGCCCGACGCGGGGCTCGAACTCACGGACCGCGAGATCGTGACCTGGCTGAAGTCGGACGCTTAACCGACTGCGCCACCCAGGCGCCCCGTCAAGGTGCACATTTCTTATCCACTGTGAAAGGCTCCCCCCTCTGGTACTTTCTGTGGGAAGCGGAGATAGTCACACCTGCCCCACAGGGATGGATGAGGTGATTGTGAATATGAGCAGTTTCTGCCTCATTACATATGCATCAGGTCAATGGCTATTTTATAAGCATCCCTTTTATCTGTTAGCTTGCTTCAAGGTTTTTTATTATTATAAGGAAATTATTCTAAATCCCTCAATAGGCATTTTGTATATTCATCTGAGAATCTTTACAGTTTCTGGAAGTACAATTGTTAGAAGTACTGGAAAGATTTTATTTTATTATTATTTTAATGTTTATTTATTCTTGAGAGAGAGACAGAGTGTGAGCAGGGGAGGGCAGAGACAGAGAGGGAGACACAGAATCTGAAGCAGGTTCCAGGCTCTGAGCTATCAGCACAGAGCCCAACGCAGGGCTTAAACAAACCCATGAACCATGAGTTCATGACATGAGCTGAAGTTGGACGCTTAACCAACTGAGTCACCCAGGAGCCCCAGGACTGTAAAGACTTTGAATAAATATGTCTGAAAATGCAATAGTTTACATGATAAATAATGCTTGACCTCATTTTCAGAGAAGAAAACTGCATTTTCAGAGAAGAAAACCTTCTGTTGTTTTAATATGACTTCATTTATATATGCACGAAAAGTGAATCCACGTAGCCCTTTTCAACCCAGATTAGGCCCTAAGGGTAATGACTTTTTTTGGTAAAGCTTTTATTTTTAAGTAATCTTAACACCCAACGCGGGGTTCAAACCTATAACCCTGAGATTAAGAGTTGCATGCTCCACTGACTCAGCCAGCCAGGTTCCCCCCTCCCCAGCCAGCCAGCCCCCATCCCCCCAGTGATGTCTTTTCTGAGCACCTATATTAGTACTAGGTTTAAGAAAATGGTCACCGGGTGCCTGGGTGGCTCAGTCGTTGAGCGCCCGACCTCAACTCCGGTCGTGATCTCTTGAGTTGGTGAGTTCAAGCTCCAAGTTGGGCTCTGTGCTGACAGCTCAGAACCTGGAGCCTGTTTCAGATTCTGTGTCTCCCTCTCTCTCTGCCCCTGCTCAGCTCACGCTCTGTCTCTGTCTCTGCCTCTCTCTCTCTCAAAAGTAAATATGGAGCCTGCTTCGGATTCTGTATCTCCCTCTCTCTCTGCCCCTCCCCTCTCACGCTCTGTCTCTCTCTCTCTCTTTCTCTCTCTCTCTCTCTCTCTCTCTGTCTCTCAAAGAGAAATAAATATTTTTTAAAATGGTCACTAAAATCACTGTTTATATGCTGTGGTTGAGGTAAACAATGCTTGTTGGGATGGAATTAATAGGGAAAATTAATTCAAATTAATTAATTCAAATTCATTTACTATATTTAAGGTGAATATTCCTTGAGAATGATTTTGGGAAATTGATAAATGGAGTATGTTCAAAAGCAATCAACTGCCTTCAAAGAATTGGTTTTTAATAATTTGTCATTAGATTGATTAAATTGCAGAAATCAGCTATTTAATAAATAGATCTGGAGCCACACCATTTGATATGTAGCAATTAATTCAACCTTATGTAATTATTCATTTTCCTTGTTTATTTTTGCCTTTTAATCTGTCAAAAGCAGGAAAGATAGGTTATGTCTTCAACTGTCCTTTCTGTTAATTTGCCAATTTTTTATCTATTTTAGATTCACATTGTTCCTAACTCATTAGATGCCATCAAAAAAAAATTTTTTTTTAATTTGGTTTTGAGAGAGTGCGAGCAGGGGAACAGCAAAGAGAGGGGGATGGGATCCAAAGTGGGCTCTGTGCTGACAGCAGTGAGCTTGATGCAGGGCAGAAGCTGTGGACCCAGGAGATCATGACCTGAGCCGAAGTTGGACACTGAACCGACAGACACCCAGGTGCCCCATTAGTTGCCATTTAATCTATGTTTAGTTTGCTGTGCTTTTTCAGTTTTGTTCACTTTTCTCTTCCCTTTTATAACTAAGTTGAATGACTAGTGAATGTATTGTTGGTTTTGTTTGTTAGCTCAATGTGTAAAACTTTTTGAATATGAACTTGCCTCTAAGTATACTTTGGGCCAAAGACCATATGCTTCAATATTCAGCCATTTCTGGTCACCAGGACCACCAATGGCCACTGTCTGACATGTCCATCTTTTCCCTGTCACATTATGCTTCTGAGTGAGATGAAGGCAATTGATATTTTCCCCTCGAACCCAACTTATCCAATGTAAGTATTTCAAAATATTTATTTATGGATGCATTATTGAATAAGACAGAGAAGGTTGAGGGATGAGCCAATAGGTTTGTCAGTAAGCACATGAATAAAAAGATACTCCATCATCAAGACAGTGTGGTATTAGCCAAAGACTAGACAAATGGGTGAATGGAACAAAACAGGCAGCTGAGAAACAGACCCCCATGAACACAGTCAACTGATCTTTGACCGAGGAACAAAGGAAATACAGGGCAAAAGAGAGTCTTTTCAACAAGTGGTCCTGGAACAGCAGGATGTCCACATGCAAAAGCATGAATCTAGACCATAGACCTTCTACTCTTTATTTTTTATATTTTTTTAAAGGTTTTATTTTCAAGTAATCTCTACACCCAAAGTGGGGCTCAGACTTAAACCCCGAGATCCAGAGTCACTTGCTCTAGTGAGTGAGCCAGCTGGGCGGTCCAGACATTATATCCTTTAAAAAATTCAAGTGCATCATAGATGTAAACGTAAAATGTGAAACTCTAAACATCTAGATGATAACAACATCTCGAAAAA